AAGTTTAAGAAAAAGGAAATAAAAAAACACCGAACTTGATGTCAAATTGATTGCAATGATATTACTCGTGCACATAATTGTCAATCTATAAATACATATGCATTACGATATGTTACCATGGTAATCGTAATTCTAAAATTGATCAAATCTGCAGTAGCGGGTACGTCACTTCGCTTTCACGGTCCCTGTGGAGTACGGGTGTTGAAATAACACCTCAGAAAAGCAAATTGCGGGAACACATTCTCATTTACGTGTTCATTGAACATACCAACATTCAATTACAATTCTAAATCGCTGAATTTAATAGTCTTATGCACATGGATAGACATCGTATAAGCTGTGATTGCCCACCTTGACCTTTTGTGTATTTGCTTTGTAAAAATCAGTTTCCAATAGGAAAACAATCCAGTCGTATCGCATGTGAATGTGAAAAAAAAAAAATCTCGGTCGACAATAAAACTGGTAATTATCAACAGAAAACCGTTATGATCCAGTACCATTACTCGCAAAGTTGCGTTAATGCATATGTAATCTAAACGAAATTGTTCCTTAAAATTGTGTGTTGTTAGAAACGATGCACTGGAAACTTGAACGGGTCATATTTGGCCATATAAGCCCATGTGTTTCTAAGTCGGGAAATATTTTTTTACATGATTTTTCACGTACCGAGTACGATGAGACCTTTAGGAATGTCTGAAATCAGTGAATTGTCCTATAATTCTGCAGCAAATATTGTTTTCACTATTAACAATTGGTATTCTTATGTAAACAAGGAGGATATATTATTTTATTCAGCTTATCGGAAAGAGCCACATAATAACATTGTCATAATGGCGACTATATAATATTCATATACAAATTATTTTTCGTGATTAATAATTAAGCTCACTGGAACTCGATACTACTTTCTAGACTGACATGAAAGGATACTATGTTGTGTAGTGATGCATGATGTGAATCTGACACAGACCAAAGCGACAGCTTAAAGTGTAAAGAAAATCCCCTTATATAACCATGCTGGGATAAGTTGTGGACGTGTTCTTCTATTTCACACATTGTGAGGCAGAATTTTAGAACAAGATATATAGCATAACTATATGTGCACGTAGTTAGTAAATACAATTTTAGCATACCTATCTTCTTACAAAGCATACTAAAAGTATGACAGAGTAATTCCAAGTAGGGCTAGTATACGTAAAACATGGAAAACGGTTATATTTAATAATAATATTAACATTCTAAGTGATAGAATTCAATCAGGGTATGTTATTAATTAAGACATAATTTAAGATTGTCAGACACCATATGACTCATCTAAAAACACATTACGTATGGTAATTTATGATAGTAAAATTATATACTGAATATATAATGTAATAAGTTGAAACAGCAGTCCGTGAAGGTAAAAAAAAATAAAGACATGAAACAAAATACGGCGATTGTAACACGTAACATCGTCGACTCGTACAAATACGCACACTCATAAATGATTTACGCATACAAGCACATTGCTAAGAAATGCATATAGTAATTTGCTCTTATTTTCGATATCCTAAGTGAAACAGAACCGGAAAGCGCAGTTTATCAATTTGGTGTCAAAAACGCCTACCTACAACTATCCAGGGCAACCACTGGAAACGACAAACTACATTCCATCTGAATAGACATTCATTCACACTAGGCGACATTTCCAATGAGCCGAGTGTGTGAATTGGTTTATAGGTATAAAGTGTTAACATTTGGTAATGGGAGGCGAAGTTAAAGTGCTTTCATGACGGCAATGAAAATGGCTTTGTGATGTTTCCGATGACATGAATAATTGTTAATTAAAGACGATGTTCCTAAACACTTATATACAGGAGGGGAAGTGAAAATAATGGACAGTGTTAAATAATTCACTAGTCGAAAACGGCGAAACGAGGCGCATTGAATGCAAATTTCCGGTCATTTTGCTTTATTGGTAGACTTCGAGGAAATGGGAAGAATGACGGAAACGTTGAGTTTAGGGACATATGACAAAGACCGGACCCATATTGAACTCGTATAAATAAAACAGCAGGAGAAGAACAAATAAGTATGTAAAATGCCCAGCAAACTTACATTTGATAATTTTCAATTGCGACGTATCTCGCATTGACTGAATGGTCACTCTAACCTAGTATTCGTATTTCACAATTTCTCCCATAAAGTATACACACTGAATGTAATTACATATAAGGTTGCGACGTGGAAGGCGTAAGTATGACGCGTACAGATGTAGGAAATCATCTTATACGACAGTCGTAAAACAGCTGTAAATTGAAACATTATTGCTACTAGTTGTGTATTTTACAACTTCACAATCAAACGTAGGTAGATGTCATCTAGCTGCTTCGATCAATGTACGTTATCGTAAACATCGTTTTACTGCTTATGCGCATACTCAGTATTCACCACTCCATCTCCGTTATATGGAGACCACAATCGGAGCTATGCACGGCAACTAAAACATACTACATGGGGTTTTGAACGCCCATAAACTGGCACAGGTCTGCCTTAGTATGCAATAAAACACCGACGATTGTGTAATTCATACTGTATTACCTCTTGTCTTGGTTATATATACATACACATTGAGGTTACTTTAACCGGGTAAATGTATTTGCTTTCTATTAACAGAACTACTCATACGAACTACGAAGTACAGAGGATTTCCAATTTAGAAATCTAAGCACAGTAAATATATTGCCTCGCAAGCGGGTTGCGCTCATTGATGACCCCACAAAGTCTACAACTAGCCGAGGGTAAGAATACTTTACAATTAAACATACATCTAAAAAAGTACTTGCAAACATTCCCACTCTGAATACAAATGTTTAACCTATCTCTTTCCTTTTAAAGTGCCGGTAGTTACTTGCTTATGGGGGAAAACTGTCTTAAACCTTCTCTCGGGCTTTCTACTTATACGGTATGATAGCAGGTGCTTGTATGTGGATTCTGTTTTCCTAATGTGTGTATACGTTACAAAGTATGAGAAACATTTCAACAGCTGACGCTATCAGTAAAATGTAGATATTAAGTTGTTTGAATTAGGATTTTGAAAGGCTTTGTATAACAGTTTAGCCGATATTATTCTTAGAAGATCCTCTTTATGACGGATCTGTTTTTTTATAAGGAATAACATGTATTTCGTTTAGCGAATCGTGAATTACTTGCCTTTACATAATAATGACATGCTCAATTTACGAAACTGTAGTAGATTACAGCCTATTTCATTTCACCCGACACCCGAACAACCTCGATTCCGTACTTTCAAAGTAAAGGTATCACTGTTTCCATGCCATCAGGTTTAGTTCAGCAGTAAAGTAGTCGCAGTTCCTAATCAAAAGTGTGAGTGATTTTGAAAGTGCGTACCGTACAAAATACGTTATTGCTGTTGCTGACATAGGCATTGGAGAACAGGAAACACTGCAGTTGTGTGAATTAATAACAAATAACAGTCACCTTTGTACAAATTTGCGGCTCACTGCGAGCCATTACTAAGCTGTAAAATTATTCGGTTATATATGTTAATTTCTTGTGCTTTATTAGGTGGACAATGAGGATATTCGGATTAGTGTATGTATGTGATAAGTTAGTGAAATTAATCAAGCAATCAAGTAATGATGGTGATTGGTCATAATTATCGTCGGAAGAAATTGGAAACAACACCTGACACGTGCACATCATATGCCAGGTATAAATGTGTTAACCAAGTGCAGATTTCATTGTAATCATACATAATTTGCCTAATTATAATGCATTATATACTTGAATGGTAAAGATTAGAAATATATAGCAATATGACGCTGATATCAAATTTCATATAATTATTTGACTTTGCGAAAAATAATTAGAAAAAATATCATATTTAAAAAGTATGAATATTCTGTCTTTTGATAAAAGATTATTCGGTGTCAAGAGATCGAAAATGAATGCATTTCCATCACACATAATAAAACGCAATCAGATATATTGCTTCCATCCAATGTAATCGCACTGATACAACGTGCCAAGCTGTTAACGTTTCGAAGTTGATGCATGTGTCTAACGGCACGTCGTATGCAATCATACATGCGCACTTCAGTCACCAAGTAGCTCAAGTTCACAGTGATCACTTTGCTTATTGGTTCATTTAACTGCGTACAATGAACTAATCAAAACTCTTTTATCAACTATCAGAATCAAAACTAGCAAAGTCACAAGAATGTAGAATAAATGCATGAAGTCTTTCAATTCAAGTGTACCTGCAATTCTAAGCTAGAATAAACTTCTCGAAACCTTCTTTGATAACATTTCTATGTTTATTTCACGGAGCATTGCGTTTTTTGTTTGAAGGAGCGCCTTGTAAGATCGTGAAGATTCAAACGAGAAATAATATATTTTAAATCCGATGCGACAAGTATTTGTATGTAGCATAGATTTCAGTAAGTGCATTTAGAATTGACCGAGAATGCTTTCAACTGGTATTCCAATTACTATCTCGCTTTGAGCATTGTTTTATTTGGTAATCGTATTAGGCGTTAGAATTCTATTGACTACCAAAATATAGAGAGAAGGTATCCTTTTCCAACCACACAAATGGCAGCATATATAATCTGTGTTGAATGAGGGTATACGATATAATGGCCGATTAGCTATACTTTAGGTTGGTATAGAATAGCTATTATGAATGAAGTCAAATAACGTTTGGTGGCACAAGCTAGCCACGCGACGATGAAATCAATGAAGACAAATTAGAATGCGCACTAAATAACCTAAAAAAAAGATGCGTCGGGAAGTTATTTCTATAATTATGTCGCTCAACATTGCTATAATGTTTAGATTCATTCGCACAATTCACGTCGACTTAAAGTCGTACTAGCGCGTGAAAAATGTACTTTTTAGCATAAAAGTATCGTTTTGTTTTATTGAAGCAGAACTGTCTTGGTGGACGAAGGTAGTAATACAATTTAGTAGACTGATGGTGTGTTTTGACTTACCTCTTGTTGAAATTAAATGATGATGAAGTCAATCGTTCGTGTCTGCACTTCTTACTGCGCTGCTACACACCGTGCTTCCTTTACTGAATAATAACTCGTCCTTCTTAAGAATCCGTTTATGAAAGATCGGGAGGGAAATTCGAAGGCTGCGCGTGGGTGTGCTAGAGTCAATGTGTGTCCAATACAACGATTTGCGTAGGGTTGTGAAATGCGAATAGTGAATTCGGTTGAACCAATTATAATACTGATCGAAACTCAGCCTCTACTATTGTCTTTTGTGTGCCTGTCAATCATTCCTTCTGACAGATCGACGTATTTTAACTCGCGGCATATGCGACCAGAAAAGGTGTATTATTGGGTTGAAAGAAACTGTGGGCGTGGTTATTTCCATATAAGCGAGACGTTATGCTAAATCCCCCTATAATGTGTGACTATTTGCTAATCCTATATTGGGAAGTGATATTGATCAAATCAAACATAAATTGTCAAATTGCTTTGGCAACGAAAATGCCAGGTACATGTGAGTTTCAAAACGCGTTTGTTGAAGCATATACATGATTTTTTGATACTTGACTAGGGAGTATCGTTATTACTTAGTCCAAATAAGTACATGTTATGTACACGGGATATCACGTAGAATATTCTAAAATAATTCGTATGGTTTTACACAGGGTTTATAACCAGTGTTAATTTTGTCAAGATCCCCCGAAACACTTTTATTAGTTGGTTATATAGTTTGAGCGGAGGTATAACCGCCCTCATTATTCTGAGTAGCATCAGAAAAGGTAGTTCAACACAATCATTCACTGCATACAAAGTTATTGCAAATGATGTTAGTAACTGTGACTGGTATCGTATTATCGCGCACGTGGGCATCGGAACCAACTAATTTTATGATGAGGCAAAATATTGAATTATTGAACGAGATATTGGATTATTCGATCGATTGTTACTATTATTATTATTATTATTTCTCTTTATGAATTTTTGTGACGTCATTGTCGTGGTCTGCACTCTTTAGGTAAATATCAGTTTAAAATGATTTAAAAGTACCTATAAAGTATATGTATATTGGTGTATGGTAATGCACGGCGATATTCTTCTGTACCTGAAGACGGGACCTGCCGTGTATTTTTCTAGCTAACTAAATGCTTTTTCTTCGCCTGTCGTGCTAAAAACGTGTACGTTGAGCAAGTATTGAACGTATGTTGATTTCTTGTAACGACTGGACTCAATAAATATTGACACATTCCAGCTTCTGTACGTTGAATTGAACTAGTGTGAGTCCTTCGCATAACTCGAGCAGGGTATCTTAGAAACTTGGTTGAACATGTTTTGTCTGCGACAAGCGACGACCTGAGCGAATATGAATAATAACATTTCTATCGCTTAGTTTCAATCAACCCGGCATTCGAACATTTGAAATATCTTTTGAACCACGTGACCTTCTGTGTCACGTCAACAATTTACAAGAGGTAGCTGATAGTATGACTAATATTCACATGAAAGATTGTCCTCTTTCTAAACGCAGTGAATGATTAAACGTGATAGAAAACCATGTGTACAGCTCACATATATCGTGTTCATCCAATTACCGATCCTTAACGCATTTCCAATTAGGTGTGTACGATGTGTACGTGTATTCAAATGAAGAGTTTTGAAGCGTTGGTTTCACAAGTGTTAGACGATGCTCATTTCAACTTGTGAAATGTACAACTAATAACCTAATGTCTGTGCGCACTAGTTGCCATCCACACTAATGAGTCTGTAGATGGGTGTTCAGAATAATCGATAAATCGTTAAATTCACCTTAAGACGTCAAGGTCAACGTTGATTAAAATAAATTAAATACACCTAATCGGGAAATGTCTTATATATATTTTTTAGTGTTTTGCTTGTGTTCCAATTTAACCCGACAGCGTGTGGTATTGAAGTGGATGGTTTGACAGTAGTTAATTATTTCCGCAAATTATCAATTATTCCGTTGATATGATAAATACAATTTACGTCATATATAGAGAATTAAGAAAGAGGCGGACCTTTTCTCCTCTGGAGGGTGTCTGGTTGAAAGGCGATAAATCGTCCAGATTATAATATATCGTAGTTATAGTCAAAAGTGCAATTCACAAAAGCAGTGCAACGTCTATTGATCTGTAGTAATAACGAACATGTGTGGGACATAACATTTATATATGCATTTAAAACAATTGTATTGGGAACTAAATTACGTCCTTAAAATTAAACAAATACGGCGTCCTATATTGCTAACACGTTCCCACACAACGACGACATTCATATAATTTCAATCAAGATTGTACCTGCATGCACGTACAATTACGTTACAAATTATACGCAATGTCAGATGAAAAACATGATCTATAGCAAACAGGAACTCTTGTACCATGATAAAACTAACGTTCAGTTCCGGCAACAAATAACGTCATCCATTGATATAATTGTGGGGGCATCTATAAACATAAACGTCAACTGAAAAGACAAATCAGTATGACTTTTGGGCGGAAATCGCGAAATCGGTTATTGAGATGTATTGCCATGATTGGTGATAATAATCATACATTCTAATCTGCAGAATAGTTCTCGCAATGCAACACGGGTATTCGACAAGTCGTCAACGTTTGTAATGGCGATAGTACTGACAATAAAAGCACAGGGAATGTAACCTAATATTACAAAAAAAAAATAATTGCTTAACGTAAATGTATTAACAACGAGATGACAGTTACACCCCACCGCGCAAATCAACTGAAGATTGTGTCTATTCAACGGTGCTCAACAACGAAGAGGATAAAAGCCGATTTGGCAGTCTGTAATTACGACCTTGCTGTGTTTAAACAATGTTATTAAAACAAGACCTGATTTCGCGTTTGTATTAACGATCAGTTTGCTCACGCCTTAGCAGTGCGTCAACTCGACTCTCGACTCCCTCCCACAGTGTTTGTAATTAAATGATCCAATTTCATCGGTCGTTTCTTCGATTGGGGAAGTCAAAGTTCCGACGTCGCGCGACTTCATCGAAATCTTGGAGACAATTCTAATTTCGTTCAAGGATTCTGTTGAATTAAAATAACAAACGCATTGAAACATTTTATGTTAACTGAGTATTTTTAACAGTATTCGCGACTATAAACAGTTTTCGATAGAGAAAAAGTGGCGATTGTTTGAACATTCTCAATTATTTAGATTAATGATCGTTGCAAAGACTGGTGACTATAATGAAGTTTTAAATCAAGCCTAGTGTTTTTTCTGTTTTATACTATGCACCACTGCACTATACTACACTACACTACACTACACTACACTACACTACACTACACTACACTA